CCCTAACACAAAAAATGATACCAGACCCACACTCACAAAACCACACAGGATGTCACCACCACACATCCACGCAAAAAGAAAACCCAAAGCCACACCGATGATGAGGCACGACCACAAACCAGAAGCCAGACCACAGCTGCATCATTAGCCACTTTAAACCCCTCCAATCCATACATGAAGCAAACTGACACCCACCATGAAGATGAGGCACGACCACGAACGCGAAGCCAAAAAATAGCAAGGCAGCCCACCATCTTAAACGCACCTGCAACTCAGACTAACCTGAGCACAACAAAGCCCCCACCCAAACAGAACACTCCCCCATCCAATCAGAGCACAGCCAACCCCCCATCCAATCAGAGCACAGCCAACCCTCCATCCAATCAGAGCACAGCCAAACCCCTAACCAATCAGAACACACCTCCACCCAATCAGAACACAGCCAAGCTCCCATCCAATCAGTTCATACCCCCACTGGCAGTTAAAAGGAAGAAACAGCTAAGACCACACATTGCTCCTCGAAGCACAAAGCTGAAAACACCAGCCTGAAGATGACGAATGGGACTTCGTCGAAACGTCGCCAAGACACTTCCAATTTTACGTGGGAGAAAACCCGAATAACCAAAGACCTACATATATATATATATAATATAGGGAGGTTTTATAATGCTAGTTTTGCCACAGCTAAAAATATCGGACACTAATTTTGTACACGTTGCTAATTTATTCCTACCAGAAGCTAAAGTGAAATTTATCAGAAAACTCCCTAACCATTCCACTTCTTAGGGGAAAAAAAAGAGAATTAAAAGATAATCCATATTTGAGTACAGAGAGAAAGGTGGGCTAATACAGCCTCTTACTTCAGAGACATTTCTTAGGGGGGGGCAGGTGTTGAGAAAATATTCCCTCTGGGGAAAAATCAAAGAAACTAATTACAAGTTTGATCTCCAAACAATGACTGTGGGTTAATAAACATGCACACACCAAATAGACCGTTTTGGATCCTCTGGGGAATCCTGCCTCATGAAGAAGGATTGAAAATAGATCTGAAGCACTTCTGAGCAAGGGAATACCTGGAATAATGACAGTGATTGGCAAGAAACACCACAAATCCAGGTTTTGTGGGTGGGGATGGTTTGAGAACATGCTTTGCCGCAATGAGCTCTCCTGGGCTAGGAATAGAAAAGCAAGGAAAAGCAGCAGAAAGATGTGGTGGAGGAAGGGGAAGAGCAGGAGTTTATAGAAAATGTGGATATATTGGCGGTTCCCCAAGAATTCAGCAATAGAGGACAATGAAATTACTATACATGATTTTCCTCTCCTTTTCTATAAATTATGGGAGTGGCACTGTGGTGGCTCACGTGGTTAGGATGCTGAGTCAGAAGACCATTGAGAGATTGACAGCTTGGAAGTTAGAAACCCTAGAGTGAGCTATATGATGGAATGAGCTCCTGTCCATTTGCCTCAGCTCCTGCCAAACTAGTATTTTAAAAGCAGGCAAATGCAAATAGATAAATAGGTACCACTTCATTGAGAAAATACCAGGGACATGAAAGGAGCCCTCTTGGGCACCACCTGGGCAACGGTGATGTCACTGGCTAATCCTTTCAATCCAAAAGTGCCTTGCTGGTGCTTCCAACACAAATGAAGTAGTAGTAAGGGAGTGATCACACAAGCTAAGAAATTTGCCAGTTTCAAGGAGGATATCCTGTTAGGGAAAGCCACTTTAAGATGATTCACAAACAGTTTGTTGTTGTTGTTCAGTTGGTAAGTCATGTCTGACTCTTTGCGACTCCAGGGACCATGGCACACCAAGCCTCCCTGTCTCTCCACTGTCTCCCAGAGTTTGCCCAAATTCATGTTCATTGCAGGAATTCACAAACTGTAGGGTTTGCTAACAGCTCCATTTCTTTGGCTCTCAAAACACAATCATTGCATTCATTCTGTGATTTACATTTTTAATTGGGATTGGAAAAAAAATGAGTTTCTTATTCCCTTAATTGAAGATTCATCTTCTGTAACTTCAGGATGATATAAGGCAACAGTCCAAAGAAAAAAATATAGAGTAGAGTAGAGTGGAATATAGAGTAGATTAGAGTAGAGTAGAGTAGAGTAGAGTAGAGTAGAGTAGAGCAGAGCAGAGTAGAGTAGAGTAGAGTAAGAACAGAACAGAACAGAGTAGAATAGAATAGAATAAGAACAGAACAGAATAGAGTAGAGTAGAATAAGAACAGAACAGAGTCGAGTCGAGTTGAGTCAAGTAGAATAGAGTAGAGTAGAGTAGAGTAGAATAAGAACAGAACAGGACCGGATCGGACCGGACCGGACCGGACAGGACAGGACAGGATAGGATAGGATAACAGAGTTGGAAAGAACTTTGGAGGTCTTCTAGTCCAACACCTGCTCAGACAGGAAACCCTGTACCATTTCATACAAATAGTTGTCCAGTCTCTTCTTAAAAACTTCCAGTGTTGGAACATCCACAACTTCTGGAGGCAGGTTGTTCCACTGATTAATTGTTCTAACTGTCAGAAAATTTCTCCTTAGTTCTAGGTTGCTTCTCTCTTTGATGAGTTTCCATCCATTGCTTTTTGTCCTGCCTTCAGGTGCTTTGGAGAATAGCTTGACTCCCTCTTCTTTGTGGCAACCCCTTAGATATTGGAAGACTGCTATCATGTCACCCTAGTCCTTCTCTTCATTAAACTAGACATACTCAATTCCAGCAACTGTTCCTTATATGTTTTAGCCTCCAGTTGCCTGAAACATTTTAAAGAGGAAAATGGAGGAGGATGACTATGAAAAGTGGTCTTATCTACCTTGTGGTCTGCTGAACCACCTACTTAACATTTATGATACCACTTTGGGAGCTGCAGAGCTGAGAAAAATCAGGTCATGCAGCTGAAAATGCCATGTTTCCAGCAGCCTGGATATATAGTACTTTCAAGAATACTGGGGGGGGGGGGAAGGAAGTCACAAGGGTTTTAAAAATGTTGCTTCCCTGTGGATTAATGGGGAAATGTTTTTTTAAAAAAGGAGGCTAAGCCTTAGAAGTATTTTGCTTGCATCCCATATCATACTGTAGCACACAGAATATAAAGCAACATTTTTTCACACTAGAAGAAAAGTTTTGTTTATATGGGGCAGAGATTATTGAACTATTTGAATCTGCTCAAATGATGGGCTTTGGCCCAAGGAAGCCAGTTGCTTCAGCTTGATCTGAATTTCCCTTTGGTTCCATATTTATAGGTATTCTTAGGGCATAGAAGATGTATACTCCATAAACAGGTGATCCTTGACTTACAACCATTTGTTTAGTGACCGTTTGAAGTCACAATGACATTGGAGAAAGTAACTTATGTGAACAGTTTTCATATTATAACTGTTGCAACATCCCCACGGTCACATGATCAAAATTCAGATGCTTGGCAACTGGCTCAGATTTACCATAGTTGAAGTGTCCAGGGGTCATGTGATCACCTTTTGCGACCTTCTTGACAAAGTCAACGGGGAAACCAGATTCATTTAACAACTGTGGCAAAGAAAGGTCATAAAATGGAGCAAAATTCACTTAACAACTGTTTTGCTCAGCCACAGAAATTTTGGGCTCAATTGTGGTCATAAGTCGAGGACCACTTGTATAGAAAGCATTGTGAGTTGCTCAGCTTTGCAGCACAGCAACTTTAATCAGCCCATCTGCAGTGAGGAAAGAGCCCCATGCTTTCATTGAATCTACCACATGAGCAAACAGTTTATCATACCTTGTTCCGAGCACTGGTAATCCAATTTCTGATGTTTTTCATTATGCATAAATGTATTTTTCTGTGTTTATATATTTGAGAAGATAGAGCGTATAGACGAGCGGGAAGAGAATTGATAAAGATGTTTAAACAACGATTGTTTTGTTTGTGTATGATTCGTCAGTTTTTATAGCAACGTTATAGAAATAGGACAAGGAAACTAAAATCTGATTAAGCCTAAACCCTGGGCCATTATGTGATTATTACAAGCCTCGGCACAGTAGGGGTTATGTTGTTATGATAGAAGGGATTTCCAGGATAATTAAATCAAATTGGGAGCTTTGGAGAAACCAGGACCAAACATTACAATGGCTTTCCTGTAAATACCAAGAGCTCCAGCTTCCAGTTAATGCACTTATCCAGTTTTTAAAGGGCCCTTTAAGCAAAGCTCACCATTTCTCCCTTCCCCATCAAGATTGGGGTTCCTTGGCAAGTGTAAAATACAATTCAGAAATGAACATGATTTGGACAGTATGCCAAGAACAGACTAGTAATATTGCATTCAATTTTGGTTACCACAATATAAAAAAAATATGTTTAAAAATATGTGGAAAGAGTGCAGAAAAGAGCAACAAGGATGATTAGGGGTTGGACTAAGGTCCAAGGTCCTTTCCAACTCTGTTGGATAGTAGGTAGATAGTAGGCAGAACATCACAGTGTGGGTTCTATCCCTGCACACACAAAAGGCATCACAATGTTGTATCTGCTGTTTTGCACATGGTTGCACCTCCCTCCTACAGATATCCATAGGTGGTTTAGATAGAGAAAGTATATGTGGAAAGAAAAGAAGGATTGATATGGGGCAAGATTCAAGAGGACCCTCAAAAGGGTAAGTCCTTAAGTTTAGGGTTGCTTAATTGTGTACTGAACTCTACCATTGCCAGTCCAAAGCCTCTTGGAGGAGGGAGGCATCAGACTTGGAGGAGGGGAGGCATCAGAAATCGGCTGAGATTTCACTAACACAAAATTACACATCAAACCCAACACAATGCTTGAGATGCAGACATGCAAGATGCTGTAGACCGGATAAAGTGATGGGCAACATGTTAAACTCTGGACCCTGTGATATGGTGGGAATAACATGCAGAACAAGAAGAATTGTTCACATTAAGATTCTAGTAAAATCTCACAAGTGCAACCAAACGTCTGTCCTTGATTGTATTGTCTGGCCTATCCTCCCCCTTCCCTAAGTCTCCTACCTACCTCAAGAGCTGTCCTGAATTGCCCAGCTGCCATGGCGTACTTCTTCTGTCTGTAGCAGGTGCTTGCATCTTTCAAGGATACCTGAAGCCACTTATCCATCTGGGGCTGAAGACCTTGGCTATCTGTGCCTCCAACATCTGAGGGCTTGGGTTGTGCGCCACTGGGACGCTGAGGTTCTAGGAACTCATAGGAAACGTTCTCTTCATCCGTGTAAATCAACTTCATTTCTACTTCTAGAAGACTTTTCAGGGGGATATGGGACAGCAACATGGTTGCAACCAAGTTGTCTTGTTCCAGTAGGCGTGGATCTTTCCTCATCACTGGCTTCTCATCACCCTCCATCTTACGTTTAAGGCCCAGCCTCTCTAAATCATTAGATTGCTTCTCCTTGCTTCCTGTTTTTAGTTTCTCTATTGCATTTTCTGCCATCTCTGTTCCCAGAGGGAGTTTTACCATTTGCAAAGCTTCTAGACTATCATTCTGATGCTGGGTTGTTATTCTCAACTGCTGAATGACATACTCTTTTTGACAGGCTTCCTTCGTGATGTTCTCAAAGTGTGTGCTATTTGCTGACTCCATGACTCACAATCTACACACACAAATCCTGAGTGGGGAAAAGGAAGCGCAGAGATTTACCATTTGGAGTTTGGCAAACAAAACAGTGCAGAAGAAACATATTGTTCAATTTACCCACAGATTTCAAAGGCAGCTATTCAGCTATAACAAAGAACAAAAAAAAAAGTTGCCTGGATTTCAGAATCAGGCTGTCTTTTGTATTTCAGCAAATAAGTGTCATATCTCCAAAGCTTCATAAAATATATTTTGATTTCTGGTTTTGTCCCTATCCATGATCTGCCAAAATTACATGTGCTCTTTGGAATTCCATTAATTTCTCTTCTACAGGTTAGCAGATGGGCGAGATGTATGAACAGTGCTGGTTTAATGCTAAAATCAAAAGGCATGGGCTCAAAATAGCTGCAGTCGGGCAGCATATACATTAATAAATTATTAAATTAAATTGTTATAGGATATGCTGCTGGATTTGGGTTCTTATTGGCAAAATGCTTGTGCATGCATAGTAAGCATTGCTGAGACCATGAATTAATCTTAAGCCCATGAATGATTGATTATTCATGAAATAGACCTTTTGACAGAAATAGAATTTATTTAAGGCAGTGGCCCCCAACCGTTTGGTCACCAGGGACCGGTTCTGTGGAGAGAGGTTTTTCTGCGGACCGGAGGGGGTATGGCTTCATGTGCTGCCAGCTTTGCTTGTTTGCACAGCCTTGTTTCTGGCATGCCGTGGCCCAGTGCCGGTCCATGGACCAAAGATTGGGGACCCCTGATTTAAGGAAATACATGATGAAGACATGATGAAGACATTTAGACTAACTCTACATTCTACCAGGCAAAAGTCAGAGTAAAAGCTCTATGCAAGCATCCTTGAGAACTGATGTCAAAAGAACTATTCCTATTTTTCTCCTCCTTAGCATCATAAATAGACTTCTTGACTATTCTTCATGAAAGTAATTACATTGCAAAAGCTAGTAAGGGATTCCAAGCTAACTTCGTCTAGTTCAGTGATGGCGAACCTTTTAGAGACTGAATGCCCAAACTGCAACCCAAAACCCACTTATGTATCGTCGGGTGCCGGGTAGGCATGGCCCATTGGGTGGGCGTGGCTGCGGTGGTAACGGCAGACTGGGTAGGACTAAAAAGTTCAATCAATCAATTCCAACTTTGTGAGATCTTTTTTTTCCCGCGAGAAGTTGAAATTGATTGATTGATTGAGCCTTTTTTTTGTACACGATGGCGGAGACCTAAAGCAAAAAGGTTTTATAAAACCCAGCTGAAGGCCTAGGACTGGGGCGACAGTAAGTGTGCCCACAGAGAGGGCTCTGTGTGCCACCTGTAGCATGGGTGCCATAGGTTCACCACCAATGGCCTAGTTCTCAACCTTTTTAATGCCACGACCCCTGACCGGTCGTAAGTCGAGGACTACTCAACTGGTGCAGCACCGTTTGCAGAATGGGACTTTTGGCGGGCTCAGCAGGGCAGAGACAGCCTGGACAATTCCTATTGGCTTTTGAAAGCCAATAGAATTCGACTCTATTCAAGAGAGTCTATTCTATTGACTTTCAAAAGCCAATAGAATAAAAGGGAATAGCACAGCTAAGGAAAAGGGGGAAAAAATGGCAGACTGCGTTGTTTGGCGACCCCCGTGAAATGGTCGTTTGACCCCAAATGGGGTCCCGACCCACAGGTTGAGAACCCCTGGTCTAGTTAATGGTTCCTATTAATGACGTCTTAACCCATAACTCCAGGCAAATTCTATCTTAAGCAGCCTAATTTCCACTACAGACTTAGTAGATACAAAGATGGATGTGCATTTCTTGTCTAGGCTAACATCAGTCCACTTGAGGATGTCATCTTTTCCATGCACCTGTGCCTCATTGTTATCTGGTAGAACTGTCTATGATACAATGGAGTGCTTACTTAACTAAATTCATGGAAATGTGCAATTTTGTCCATATATAATCATGCCTCCAGTAATGATTCAAGCAACCAAAGTTGCAGATTGATGCACGCAGTTTATAAAAGCAAACAGATATGCAACACCTTTTAAGGAGCAACTACTAGCAATTAAAAAAAACAACTATTTTCCTCCATAGTTTTTTTTATCTACCCATTCTCTCATGAAACATTTTGCATAAATTTGCATGCCTTCCCAATGATGGGTTGCTGAAAACATTAACTCTCGTTATAAACAGTGGGGAGAAAAGATTGTCCCCTTCCCAGTTTTTTTTTAAATCTAAAAGAATGTTTCCTTTTCACCTAAAGAACATATTGCATCAGAAATGAAAGGCAGAGCTGGCCAGACATCATTCACAGAGAAAGCATGATTTGCAAACAGCAATTTATTTCCAATTGACTTTGCATGCTTTGAAAAGTGCCTTTATTTGATGGATGCAATTGAGCTGCCTGATTTCTGTGTTTTTCTAATTCTTCAAATTCAAACCCTTTCCTTTCCCTTCCCTTCCCTTCCTTCCCTCCTCTTCTCTTTTTCAGCCTTTCCTTCCCTTCCCTTCCCTTCCCTTCTCTTCTCTTCTCTTTTTCAGTCTTTCCTTTCCTTTCCTTTCCTTTCCTTTCCTTTCCTTTCCTTTCCTCTCCTCTCCTCTCCTCTCCTCTCCTCTCCTCTCCTCTCCTCTCCTCTCCTTTCCTTTCCCTTCCCTTCCCTTCCCTTCCCTTCCCTTCCCTTCCCTTCTCTTCTCTTCTCTTCTCTTCTCTTCTCTTCTCTTCTCTTCTCTTCTCTTCTCTTCTCTTCTCTTCTCTTCTCTTCTCTTCTCTTCTCTTTTTCAGTCTTCCCTTCCCTTCCCTTCCCTTCCCTTCCCTTCCCTTCCCTTCCCTTCCCTTCCCTTCCCTTCCCTTTCCTTTCCTTTCCTTTCCTTTCCTTTCCTTTCCCTTCCCTTCCCTTCCCTTCCCTTCGGTTAAATGGACAATGAATGGTCCGAAAAACAACAACAAATGCAATGGCAATTTTTTTTCAAAATAAAAAGAGAAATGCCTGAAGAGTGAAGCCATTTTAAATGGGGTGGAGAAAGAAAATTGTGCTGTCAGATTCCTGCCTTTTACCAGGACCTAATTTTAGCTCCTACATGTACAATTCTCGAGGGGTGCTAAGGGGGTGGGAAGAACTTTTCTAAGCAGAAAAATATGAAGGCTGCACATGGTTGTGTTTTGCTGCTATTTTATTCCATCTCACATGTGGGGTTCTTTTTCCAGAGTCTTTTCTATATCACTAAAGAGCAGGGAGATATTGAAAAAGCTTCTGCTTCTGCTCAGTCAGGCTGACACTCCTGGCCCTGTTGTAAAACTAGGTTAACAAGAATGACCTCATTTCGGTCATTGTCATTTGACCCTTATTATTTTTAAATTACTCTTTTAAAAAATGCTTTTCTTACTAAAAATGATGTGCCACACGCTTCTTGAGGCTGGCAGCGAGATGAGAGGATTTGTATCACCAGGAAAGTTATTTCTGACAAGCCTTTGCAACAAAACCCCCTGTTTTAAAATATTTCTTATGGGGGGGGGGGTAGCCTAGAGAAGGAGAAAAGTTTGGAGGAAACACCCCCCCCAGGAAAAAAAATGCTTTCCCATATTTTAATGACAGCTTTTTTGGTGCCTGGACTTTTTTTATCCATATCTATAATCTTTAAATTTGGGTAGACACATGGATGATATTGCAGGCAATTCAAAATGGTTGTGATAAAAACTATATTGCCATTTTTCATTATTAGCTATCAGAACTAAATCTATTATCATTTTTTTTAGGGGAAAGAAATTCAAGCAGAATTCAAGAGGCATCTATCATAGCAGCAATGGGGAAATAATTCAGGAAGCTTATTAAGGTCCATCTCTATATATTAGTTAACCCAAATAGGGCAAACCAACATTGCATCCATTTGAATATTTATTTTGGGCAGTTACATGGGAATAAAAGTATATTTAGGAAACTGCATACTTGACAAAATGACAATCAAAATGTGCAGTAGAAATAGTTAATAAACCAAAATTCATTTATTCAGAAGCTTTATAAAGGCCCAACTGGGAAAGATGTCTGTAAAGGTATTAATAATAAGGGTTTTGATTTTTTTTTTTTTGAAAATTGGCAGAAAATGGATTGGAATGCACTAATAGTTCAATAATACCACATAGATGGAAGCCGGAGCTAAAGTGATTACTTAAAGTGAGAGTCAGACCTATCAAACATTCATTATCTGTTTCTTTGTTGAATGCCAAGTTTTTGAGCAGCTGTTGCCATCCCTTGGAAAAAAAAAAATCATCTGTACTATATTGCCAGAATTGCTTTATTTCATTTATTCTGAATTGGATAATTGATTTTTATTTTATTTCTTTCGCTGAGAGAGTAGTCTTATAATAGAGTGGCTACCCATATACTTTACCATAAGATATGTTTGAATGCATATGGAACTTCAAAACAACATTGTAAAATTCAAAGAACTGCAAAAAAAAAAAAAAAAATCAGAAAGATAACAGCCAACGAATTCACTCTACTTATTCACATACACCTAACAATCAGAAAACTAAATAAAATTGTTTTGTTTGAATGGACAGATCGAATAAAATCCTTTTATTTTTGAAGCCCTTGATTTGGAAACCAGCCTTGGGGACCTCTATAAACAAAGTGTTATAATCCTACTGGATTAGGCCAAAGACTTTCTCATTCCAATCCTTTTGTGGCTCACAGTGGTCAACCAATATTTCTGGACTGAATGCATGCAAAGGAGGGAGTCATAATTACTGTATTTCTTGTTGTTGTTCCTCTGCGGTTGGTATTTTGATGCATGCTATCCCCAATCTGAAATTACTTTGGAGTTTTCAAGACCAGTAGCTCTTGATAGACATATTCTGAATAACAGACTAACAGAATAATAGAGTTGGGAGGGACCTTGGAGGTCTTCTAGTCCAACCCCCTGTTCAAGCAGGAAACCCTGTACCATTTCAGACAAATAGTTGTCCTTAAAAACCTCCAGTGATGGAGCCTTCACAACTTCTGAAGACAAGCCATTACACTGATTAACT